AAATATGTAGGTGTCTGTAAGTTATCTGTGCTTGTTTTTGAGGTGAAGATCCCAGGTAAGTCTTCTGTTTAAATGAAACTATTAGCGAACTATTTTCCTTGGACGAAATATCAAGTAATATTAAATCAAAATATTAAACTTACCATTCAGAACTAAACCTTTAAGTTCAAAGTAATGTATAATCATTAATAAATCATAATATTATTATTTACTATGTTATAAATTATAATCATATACATCAATCAAACTATATGTATATACCTGATAATTGTTTAGTATACAATTTAAAATATTTATATGTAATATATGGGTTAATGTAAACATTTAGAAACAAGTTTTTATTGCTAGTGTAAAAGTTTTATTAGGAATTAATATCTGTATTAAATATAAAATATAAAATAAATTTTAAATACTTAATATTAAATCATCACTTGCATTATTAGATATTTATTTAAGCTTAAAAAATGTACAAATATACTTATGCGATATTCATATATTATGCATGTTTTTATTATCAATACTATTATTATTATTTTTTTTTTTTTATATACAATCTGTTCCTTTAGGGACAATAAGAATATGTGATATTAGAAGATGTTAACATGAATACGTGATGGGAGGAGTCACCCAGTGGTTACACTATCCTTGCATGATAATTTTTTTTTTTTTAATTACTCATTGAGAAGATCTCTACACCATTTCCTTCTGAGCCTCTTGGGAGGGTTCCCAGGAATTGTGAGAGTGGCAAGGTTTGAAATGAGGGGGTTGGTATGAGAAGGGAGTTTTGAGTGGAAACGTTTGTAAAAGGTTACTGCTTCTTCGTGGACTGTTTTAATTTTTAGATCAGTGTGTAAAGTTAGGTTTGAAATATAAGGAGGAGAATTAGTGATTTTACGAAGGATGTTGTTTTGGAAGGTTTGAATTTTAATACTATTATTAAATTAATTTCATAGATACAGTGTACATTACATATTTAAGAAAATATAAATATATATGAAAATAAGTAAGTATTGCTACATTCCCCATATAATATATAACAATATATGTTAAATAACTAGCTTTGCAAATGTTCTATTTCCATTTTTCTTTTCAAGTTAAAAAAAAAAGATAATGAAGTTTTCGGTCGTAAATTGAATAGTTGGAGGGGAAGAGTAAAGGAGTATATTAAGTGATGTATACCTCTACGGTTTTAACTTTTTGTTTTAAATATAAAATTTGCTGACCTATGAAAATTTTGCTATACTCGTATAATATACTAAGTTAATCAGCTATCATTCGTCTGTAAGCAGTTAAATGTTGTGATAGTTAATAGTAAAGGTTAGAGAATTTGAATTTTTCTGAAATTAATGAAATATTCTGTATACTGGTTGTTACACATAGTAAACATTTATCTCAAATATCATTAACATTTTTAAGTTATAATTTTTTTAAACATTACTTGAAGATATCAACAATGATGATACAACATTTTTGATAAATAGTCATATTTTTTAATGCTATCATGATTTAAGTTCTTTTTTTTTTTAATTAAGTAAAATATTATACATATATTTTTAATTTTAAACTTTGAAGTAGAATATTTTTATTTTAAAAATCAAATTTTAAACGAGAAGTTTATTTATCATAAATATTTAATATCCGCGGTTTAAAAGAATTTAAAAGAATAATTTTTATTTTTTAAATAAATAATATAATAGTATGTAATATTTACCATAACTACAATAATACGTATAATAATATAAATTTTAATATGAAAATTTATAGGTATTATTATATTATATTAGTACAATCGTACCTCCTTAATTTAATATTTCAAATTGTACTTTACCATGTAATGCATAATAAACAATTTTTATTGTTCAGCAATAATTATTAATACGTATTTATAAATGTATATAATTGTGTAGTATTTATTTCAGAATATTACACATTTAAAATTTAAACTATTTTTTATACAAATGTTTTCTTTATCGGTTTACAAATAATTTTACTGTGAAAATAATTACAAAAGTTTACAATATAATATATACATAGAAAGGGTTATTTGATAATTAATACTGTTTTATGAAAGGTTGCAACACAGTCGCCTTTTAAATACAATTTTGCAACACTAAAATCCGTGCGTATATGGTCCACACGGTTGTTTAAAAATTCATATGAATTAATTTTTTATTAGAATCAAAAGGGGACACAAGTTATTATTAGAATACTAGAGTACTTAAAAATGATAATTAAAGTATATAAGCAAAATACGAACCATAATAATATAAAATGGTTCCTCATATTATTTCAATAATTTTAAATTCTTTCATAGACATACGCGTGCACACTAATAGAAAATATTAGATTTTTACGATAAAAAATAAATACATGAGTAACCTATAATTATTATTAATTTTTCACTATATTCTTTGTCTGTTTTAAAAGTTATCAACTTTTAGAGCAGCAAAAATGCATCGTATTTCAACAATGGGGTGGTTTTTGATAGAAAATTTAATTTAGTTGGTACTTCAGATTCGGGTATGAAGATGGTTAAAAATAACATCATATGCTCAGAATCATTTTTCGTGTGCAATAACTTAATATTTAATTTAAATTTAATCTATTCATTACCTAAAAAATGATAAAGAGAACTTGACACTTCCTATACAGATATACAGTAAAGCGCGTAACTAAATTTTTTTAGTTAATGAAAATACATAAAATTAAAAATGTCACACGTCATAAATTCATTTTTTAATAGCGTTTATAATACGTACATAATATAAAACAATAAATTTACTTAAAAAAAAAAAAATACAAAACATTTATTTATGATTATCAATACAATTTGCATCCACAAAGAGAGCATTTATTGTAGTCCAATATACGGATTAAATACTAAAATAAAAATAAAGTTTTGAGTTATTTTAAATTATTATAATTATTTGAAGTGCTGAGCATAATAATTTCACAGATTTGGAATGTATAGGGGTGATTCAAGTGTTATAGTAATTATTATAAAGAATATTATATTGAGTATTATAGATTAAGTAGGTATCCACATCATATTTATGATCATCGTTCGTTGTTGCTATAAGAGTACATACCTACATAACCATTGCAAATCCCTGTGAGACTTATGGATATAAAAACGCTTCTGATTTAATGCCTACTAATCAATAATCAATTTATAATTTATGCCCACTTTTTTTTTTTTTTTTATCAAAATATATTTAGAATGGAACCGGAACATAAAGCAGAGACTCACGGGGTGTCGTTGGCGTAGTTAAATCACGAAACACTAGCTCATCATCGTCTGATTGTCTGAATTCTCGAAATATTACGATAGATTTATAAAGTATAAGAGCGCATAATATAATATTATAGTGCATTTGCGACGTATGATGAGAGTCATGAATGTCTATATAAGACTCAACAGACGATATTGGGAATGACCCGGTTGCCGACGTCGGAAGTATAAAATAATAATCCAAATATGCGTTGGCTTGAAGAGGGTGTGGGGTGTTCAAGAGAAAAATTCTCGTACCTATCCTCCCACACACCGACACTCCATGCCTTTGTATTGATTTCTTTTTACACTTTTACGACGATATATTTTAATACCTTCAAATAATTTGTAATACGGACATTCGATCGACGAAAACCTCCCATCGTTGTAGGTCGCGCGTCAAATACTCGTGTATATCCATTGGCCATCGTGATATTTTATTATACAAGGCATACTTTATGTTATTATGATATAGAGCTATTTTTAAATGGGTTGTGAAGCGGTGGAAAAATCGTTCGGATATTTTGAATTTTATACATCAAAAACCAATGATGTTCGCATACGTTTATAAAATAGACAGTTTTTATATTGCGACGATATGCCTTCTGAAGTCTTTACTTTTTTTTTTGTACCTAAATGTAGAACACCATTGGCCCCACCCTATAAATTTATCTTATACTACAATACGTTATGATGCAATATAATGATAACTATATTACATATTATATATATATGAGCCGGACTTATACGCTGAAAGTTAATATCTACGTAAAATATCGTTTTGTCGACGACGTACGTCTTACGTGATATATTTATTATAAACGGACCACAATAATCCAGCTAAAGTTATATTAAGCGAGTTACCTATAATAATATTAAAATGTATGTGTTTGTAATCTATCGCTCACTGTTGATATTGTAGCGGACCACAATAAGCAACCATGTATGGATAAACCGTGAGTAATGCGTTATTACGTACCCTATTAATCGTATACGTATTCAATGCTTTATGGTGAAGTATAATGCGATAATAATTAAAATACAAATATAATTGTCATTTAGAATCTATTCAACAGTTTTAAAAATACATAAACTTATACTCTGTATAGTATGAATACACGATTATAATGCTTTAAAATGTTAAAACTATATTAAGATAAAAATTAACAATTATATTAGGTACATTATTTTTTGATAATTATTCAGAGCTAAATAATTAAAAATGTATCATGTAGATAGATTAAATAATAATATAAATAATTACTGTTAGGATATATCTTATTATAAGGTATTGTGTTTTGATATAAAATAGTATTTAAAGTTATATTAATTTTAAATATCTTAATGGTTTATTTTCAGATAATACTTATTCTTTGCTACAAAAGATAATACTTTATTGAAAAATACATTTTTTTTTTCATAAAGAATATTGAAAACATATTATTTACTATATGTGTTTAATAAATAAGTACTATATACCATTCAATAAGAACGAAATACCGATGAAAATAAACTTAATGTATTTTAGTTCATGAAATAATTATATAGTGTAAAGATCTGCTGGATCCATACAACTATCTATCGAATTATGTAATTTGTATATATAAAAAAAAAAATGCATACGACATATTTAATTATTTAATGTATTTAATTTTGTAAATCTATCTTAATCATAGGTACCTACTAAATGTTTATGAACGTATACGCATCTGTCATATAATAATTTTGTTTTTACATTATATAAAAACACGTTTATGTACAAAAAAGTAGTGAATACAATAAAAAGTACAAAATATTTTTTCGTTATACACCTCTGCCCAGAATTGAGATTGACATATTTAGTACACTGCATAAATTATATAGATGATAAATATTCCTTGGGAACGCTTCGAATTTGTTTCTGCAACACAAAATTTAAATTACATAACATGCTTTTTTGTAAAAACTGTTAGACATAGTAGCACGATTAAATAGCCCACTGTGATTTTACCCAAATATCTTTGAGTACTTGTATCATCATATCAGCAATGTCTCTTGTGAATCTTTCCACGTCCTGTTTCACATTTTCGGTATTCGATTTTTCGTAAACCTCAGCGCCATTGAGCACCAAATGCTTGTACGAAGTCATGAATTGTTTTCTAAAAGACTCCAAAGTGAGTACGTTTGGAAGATTCCAATTGTTCCGTGATAACGTGTCAATGGCTTTATACCAGCTAGAAGCGGCTTTTTTTACTGTTTCGCTTACATCGGGTTTTTCTTGTAACTATATTTGTTTGAATATATGCATAAATATACACAATTTATTAGTGAACTTGCAAATATAAGTGCACGCTTTTTACTTTATTTCATGTTAATTTTAAAGCTATGTTATTATACTAAATATCTATAATGTATACCAATTCATTCGTTACCCACCATAAGCTAATTTACGATAGAAAATATAAAATATAATACATTTTACTGCTACCGAATAACGAAGAAATGTTATGCATAAGCCGTTATTCTTAACGTGTTTATAAATTCGATTGTTGTTGTTGTTGAAATATTTTTCGACATCGCGCGTTTCATATTATACATAATATTTTATATGGATTTTGCGATAATGGTTAAAACACAATTTTTCCGAAAGTATACTGAACTCGACTTGTAATATTTCAAAAATGTGAATCCAGTGCAATATTTCGTCGAGATGTGTCAAACGAACAATACAGCATCGATAAGAGTTTGTACGTGGCGACCACTGTTATAATATATTATATTTTTCGAAGAAAAGAAAACACCATAAAATATATACGTACATAATATATAAACGTGAAATTAATATCGTTCGTTTAGTCTATTTAGCAATCTGATGTGCGACGGGACACGGTCGACAAAACAGTATAGAAGTCGGCCAAAGTTGTGTTATACATACACATATCTGTGTAGAATATAATACGCGCATTATATACTTATAGTACCGTTCTATGCGTTGTTCTCATCGCCGTGAAAAAGAAAAAACACCGTGTGTTTAAAGTTTGAATCGGATAACACGTAAGCGGTTTTACGATGTAAAACTACCATTATAAAACACGTTTGTGCGCGTTTAAAAGTCTCAGAAACGCGAGTGATTAATCCTTTTGGTCGGTGTCTGCGCCACGCGACGCTTGAACTATAATGTTATACGCGTACGTCGTAAAGGCGTGCAAAACTTATATATTTTGCAGCCGACTTTACACCTGACGACGTTTCGACCAAAAGCAATAGTCGTAAAGTACGCGTGCTCTCCCCCATCCTTGCCACGCTGTCTGAGAGGACTAACGTATTTGTTATTGTTTCTTTTTTTTTTCATTAATTCTTATAATTTATATTATTATTTAGGCGAGTGTCTTTAACTACATTGATTTTTGGAATTAAAAAAAAAAAAAAACCTTTTTTTATAGCTATAAACGGCAAAATGTATAATATATACACTAAGGATGTACTTGAAGGGTGCATTCCCTCAAGAGTTGTTTTCCATTTCTTCGCTCGTCTAAATTTTAAATGCTATTTGTCTATAAAAAAAAGTCATTTGTTCAATATTCGATATTTATATATCAAATCTATTTTTATATAAATATATATTATTAATCGAAAAAATACAATCTGTTCAAAGTGTATGATAAATTTTTTATGCAGTATTTTATTTTTATCTACAAAATGTACAAAAGCGTAAATCGTATGAATTTACGCACTTGAATGAATTGACCATCTGTTAAACTCATATAAAAAATGTAATGGTTGATTTTTATGTTGGTACTAATATTATATAAGTCACAGTGATGTTTTTGTTCCAATCTAGACGTTATCGGAGAGCAATATTTATTTTTATAAAAATACTTCAATATCTACATAGGGAAATTAAAAAAATAAGTTTTCATTAAAAAATCATTACAATAGAAAATGAAACCTACATTGTGTCGATAATGTTGCGTACCACGAATAAACCCTGTGATAAACTATAATAATAGTTATGTAAATACATATTTTGATCCTAAGCGTGGAATGAATTTTTATTTTTCTCTCGAATTCCTCGAAAATTAAGCGGAATTCTACCAAACTTTATCAAGTTTTGCGTTTGATAATTATTCCTTAGACCTACTATCTCCTAAAATATATTATACCACACAATAAAACACGTACATAGCTTCACTCTGCAGGTTAATAAATTAGAAAACTGGTGTATCTATACCACATATTTGCTTATTTCGGTTTAAACAATATAATTAAAGAACTGTTATTATTATTATGTATAAAGTTTTTGGTTTTGAATTCGAAATATTTTTAACATAGTAAGGTAAACATTTTCGATCAATCACTTCGCAACATGTATCAATATAAAATAAAGATACAGAGTATTATTTTATTGTTATTTTTTATTTTATATCAGCTCGGAAATGTGAAATGTAATCGAGACGATTTGTGTTCAATAAAATTTAAGACGTTGAGCCTTACGCATAGGTGTTTTTGATCGACTGTATTCCTTTTTCATCTTTCCTCTGCCCCCCTCCCCAAGGTTTGTATTGTCCACCATCATGAGATACAATAATATAATATTTTTCGTCAATTTTATTATTTACTGTGGTTCTATTTGGCAGTTGGTGGTCACGATGGCGGTAATGTTAAACGACATTGCGAAAATCGAATTATTGTTGACGGTAGCGGCAGCCGCGTAATTCAACTTTTGGATTACCACCACCACATACATGGGGGAATTTTTTTTTTTTTGGTTAGAGATCTTAAACGAAAACCTATATATACTGACATTATATGTTTTGAGTACGCCTGGTAAGAAGACGTATTGGTGGCGCGAGATAGTGAAAGGATTGTACGCGCGGCGTAATCGGGTGTTATATAGCTAGCCCGCACCGTCTGCACAGTGTAATGTATATGTATAATAAGTATTGTGCGAGTTCGTGTGTGTAATGTACTTACGGACTTAACCCAATCGGCTAACTTGGTCTTGAACCTCACGCAATAATTGAGAAATCCGTTTTCGGCGATAATGCCCAGGGGTGCGGCAGTCGAATGTACATCGCCAAATTCAGTCCATGCGGACGTGATGTAGACGACGGCTATCTCGTAATCGGAAGACCAGTCAAACGGAACGTTGTTCATCTATATATAATATAATATAATACACACACGTGCACGCGCGCGTCAATATTATTATATATCTCTTAGGGATTACAGTTATGACTTATCATTTTCACGATATTTGAGTATATTATAATACATACACATATACACACATACATAAATACAGTACATAAAATAGGAATATATATAATTTTTAATTGACAAAGTACTTGAAAAATCATAAGTAAATATTTTTTTTATTGGTAATACAGGCTTTTACATTTTTAACAGGTGTCTACAGGTACATATTGATGGTGGTATGTGTACCTTCGATTGGGCAAGGTACGTTTGGGCCAGGGACATTTTGGTCACTAATAAAAATGCAACCCGTTTGGAGCAGAATTTTTTGAACCCATTTGGGCCAATTTTATTTTTAGTACATTTTATTTTTAAATAATTATAAATATAAAAAATGTTCATGCAGATTACGAAAAACCTGTACAATGTGCTGTTTTAAATACATTTCCTAATTGTAAAATTGTGTGATTCTTTTTTCATTTAAACCAAATTTTTTACCGTAAAATTCAAAAACATTATTACTTACATAGCAAATACAAAGAAGAAAACTTAAAAGTTGGAAATTGGTTAAGATATTTTTATGGATTAGCTTTTTTACTACCATCTGAAGTTGGAGATGGGTATTCTCAAATGATGTCTATTGCTCCCAATATCGAATACGTTACTCACTTTTTTGACTATGTGTTTGAATTATTATAAATCAGAAGATACAGATTTTCATCCTTCTATTTGGACGGCACAATCTTCCAATTCACCACGTATAACAAATGGTCCTAAATCGTTTCACTCTCATTATAAATCACAATTTTACACACCCCATCCAAATATTTCTTAAGTAATTAACGTTCTTAAAGATTTCCAAGTTCAAACTATGCCGAAAATATCATCAATTTAAAATAATAAAATTCAAATTCAAAGGAATGATACACTAAAAAAACACAATATAAGAATGGTCAAATATCTCAATTGACGTACTTGAAAATTATTGTATAAATGTTTCAAGCAGTTCGAATTTAAATAGCTCATAAAAAAAAACATTTTCGTATTTCAGGTGAATCGTATTTAAAAAATTAATAATTTAACAAATTTTATATTGTACCTATTTATTTTTTAATATTTTTATCTTTAAAACGGAGTAATCATACATATTAATATATAAAAAAAAAAAAATAAATAACAACAATAATAATAAAAATAAGAAGCAGCATTTTTAACCATGCTAAAGACAGTTCTAAGCCTGTTAAAAATAAAATGGGAAGGAAATTGTTGATCCAAACAAGTTGTATAAAAGTAATATTTTTTAGTCCAAACGGGTCTTCAAAATTGGTCCAAACGAGTTATCTTTTAGAAAAATTGGTCCGAACGGGTCCTAGCCCTTCGATTTACCCCGTTTTTCGGTGATTGCGAACATGAAAAAAAATCATGGTGGAGCTACTCCGCATAATATAAACACGATATGTTATCATACGCTTGCGCAGCATATAATTATTATTAACGTTTTTATCATCGTCTTTGTGTCGTCAAAATTACTCACCGTGGACATGGTGTCGTCGACCAACGACGACGTCAAAGCTTTTGAATTTTCGATGGGATTCGCGTGACCGGCAGACTGGAAAACCGAGAATACATATTAAATGCACGTTGATATATTTCTGCGAAAAATCGATTTAACCACACGCCCATCGTTGTTCCATTATATTTTATAACCACATGTGTAATAATTCTAGTTTTTGTTACATGAATATTTTGATATAACATCAAACAAAAATGTATATATTTATTTTTAACAACACATTAATTTAAACTGAAAACTGAAATTATTGTATTTTCAAATTATTTATTTTTGAATCTAATGAAAAAAGTTTTCCAATAATAAAATCAGTTTAGTACTCTGCAAAATAAATAAATTATAGTTGAATAATATATACCTGTACATTACTTTAAATCGATCGTTAAACAACCTATTGTAAAGATTATATTCTTATTTTTTTATTCAAGGATATTACATAATTGCTTTAATGGTTAAATCGCGCCTGAATGATGTTTTTGATGTTGCGATTTTTCTAATTAAAATACAAACTATATATTAGATACGCCATTTAAAGCTCAAGTTGGACCGCTGGGAGTACGAATATTTGAGTTATGCAATTATAATATATTGGTACCAATTAAATTGAACACGTATCAAGAATGACTTTATTACCTATGCCTATGCGCGAATGGATAATATGAAAAATTATTAATTTGTTTTTATACGCTGATTGTTAAAATAATAAAAATAATGAAAAAAAAAAAATAATAAAAAATACAATCACGATAATATCTATAATGCGTATTATAATAGTGGATATTTGCCTTTCAAGTCCTTCGTATCCTGGCTAATACTGCGTAGTATCATAGAAAATGTCATAACATCAAAACGGCTTGCGCGGAAAATATGTTTTTAATTACAGTTTTGTAAATTATTTCGTCTCCAAATTTTCCTAACTCGTGGCATAGCACCTATAAATTATGTAAGAGTAACAAACGAACAAAAATTGAAAAAAAGAAAAACGTAATAACAGTATTGCATTGTTATTATATACCACCGTGTGTGAGGCAACCGAAGAAAAGTCAGGCTACACATGACACGCAGTCATCCTCTTGTAATTCACGTAAATTAAATGGTGATAATATAGTACAACACATTTTCGTAAAAATATCTTGTTGCCGCAATTGCCCTCTCACAAAGCACTTTCTTTATGATGGACAATTACATAAACATCGATGGCCCCCAGCTATACCCTATAACCTAACCTAACCTAGCTATACGACTTCTAAATGACATTAAGTTGGATCGAAACAAATTTTCCCAAAACATACTTGTGTACAAAAAATATGATGCTGTATGCATTATATTTACCATCTGGGAACTAAATAATTTCGCTGTTTATAACTTAATAGTAAAATAAATACTTATAGAAAAAAAAATTGAGTAATATTTCATTAATATTGTATTAAATAATAGTGTAATACAGCTATGCTCTTGGAGAATTAATTATTATTCATAATAATATAATATTATACTGAAATTTTAGGCATTAGTACAAACATACTAAAAATCTTTACTATCCCTTCCCATAATATTATAACAATGACAGGACGTCAAAGACTTGCACGACTGCCTTTGTTTACGTGACAACCCAATGTTATATTATATTTTTATAACTGTGTTCTGTTGGATGTAAATTATAAAAAAAAGTATAAAATAACCTTGGGAAAATAATAGTAAGTTTTTCGCGTTCAGGCGCAGTCATAACCCTTTGGAAATTTAAAAGCAAGTGTGTTCCAGTAAAGATAATTTTGTCAACGAAGAGGGTGGGATAAAAGTTGTTTTGCTCGTCTTGAATTTTCAACACTATTAGTATAACCGGGCGTAGATACGGCTATTTTTTGAAAAATTATGCAAATTGTATAAAGTGTTTTTCCCCATAATAATAATAATTTATTTCTCATAAATAAAAATGAAATCCACGTTCTTTTCACGAAATAAATGATATTATTTTGGTTCGTAATTATTCCTATTTATATTATCATTAATATTGTAAAACCTAATTGAATACAAATTCACTAAAATTGTGTCGGTCGTTTTCAAATCAATTGTGCATTGATCAAAACAATCAATACCATACAATCTATAGTTCTAAATAATTATCGTAGCATCGAGCTCGATTTCTGAACTAGACATACTTGATTATGCACTTACGTCTAACACATTTTCTCGCAATGAGTCCATACATTGTTATGCTAATTATTACGTGAACACAACTAGTATAAAACATGACCATGTCACACACATACATACAAATTCATTGTGTTAACTTACAGCGGTGTCGGTTTCACCCTATTGTTGTTTTGTTTAAATATATAACACGACATAATAATATACTATTCGTAAATAAACGTATAATTATTTTACTGACTCGGCCAAGTTAAAGTTGAAACTCAAGAGTTAAACTATCTATAGGCCCTGCATAATATGAATACTCGTAATATTATTATTATACACGATGATGATAATGCACTATGGTCTATGATAGGTGAATAATATCCTCGTTATACGTAGAACCCTATACGCTATACTTCATGATATCCCTAAAATGTAATACTGCTGAGATATGGCTTCGGTAACGAATGTAACCTAACCTAAACGTTTACGATTTTGCAGATATGCGTGTTTTACGAGCACATATCGAGATGGTATAATATATTATCGATTCCCAAAAGTTGTGCACTCGTCAAGTTTAAAAGAAAATACTTTGGTGGATAACATACGTGAGTTGTAAAAAATCAATTCCGGCTACATGGTGTCGACATTATTTCAATCAAATTATGATTTCCATTAAACACATTTTTAACGTGAAAGTGTTGGAATCTGTATTTATATTTGTACCATCATATTATCACATGAGTATAGATAAACCGTAATAATGATTGTGTAGGTACTTGGTTTTTTTTTTTTATTATTTACCAAAAATCGAATCAAATAATGCATATATGTATTTTTTTAAATGATCATCCAAATTACAATTTATTTGTATAAGTGTTAAGAGGAGAAGCACAGTGGTTGGATAAATTAACCAATCGGTACCAATAAAAAGTTTCAAAACTATTATATTCTCTTGTACACCAGATATTTTTAGTTCAATAAAATACAATCTTTTAACAAACTATACGGACAAATCGTAAAAGCCCAATCGAAACAAACATGATTAAAACGTGTAACAATAAATGTATATTTTTAAGCTGAAAACATACCAATTATATCTAAACCTATGTTATACATGTTATTATCTGTAACTAGATTATAAATAATTATATGATATGCATATTATTATAGTCAAAATTATTATTACAACTAAAAAAAAAAAATAAATGTTTTAATAAATAGTTATGATTTCTTGAAAATAATAAACTTAGAATTCCAAGTTCTTTATTTGGGCACATAAATTATATTTCTGTTATAATTAGACTTTGCTTCAGAAAATAATAATTTATACTTTATTTTAAATTTAATAACATTATATGTCTTCAATTTAAGGAAAAACGCCTAAAGTTCCAGATATACAACTTATTAAGATTATAATTGATTTGAATATTATATTGTTATTTTTGTTCAATTATACTTTTTATTATAAATGTCACATTATTTTAAGACCGGAGACGATTTTTAATAACATAAATTATACTACAAAAATTTAAAAACAAATAAACAAAACTTCTATGAAAAACATTATACTAAATTTTTAATAAATAATAATTGAAATTGCTTGTATCTGTGTTTGTATAATCTTTAATGGTAAAAAAATGTATTTGATAATTTATAGAATTGAATATAATTTAAATAATATTGTATTTATATCATAATTAATTTTTAAATATACTATGTATGATTAGTACTTTTTTTTTATTAATGTTAAACTATTTATCAGGTGTATTGATAATATCAGCGGAAATGAAATATTATTTAATGTTAACCTCACTAATCAAATGAACCAAAAATAAAAATAAAATCATAATATTTAAAATATATAACTATATGTTTTTTTTTAATATTTTAGTTCATCCTAGATTAATAGTAGGATGTTAATGTTTGGATTGAATGAAATATTTCATTACATAAAACAAACGATGCAATGATATATTTTTGTCAATTTAATTAATTCAAGTTTTAATGTGCAGCAATAAAATAATATGATAAAGAAAACCAACGTTGTTTGTGCACAAATTAAATTATATATTTCATTGACTAGTGTTTGTATATAAAACGCCAACTGCTTAATACCAATGGGAATTGGACAATTTAATAAAAGTAGTTAAGCTCTATCAACTATTTTGAATCATGTTATTCTCATAATTAAAGTATAGAATTAAATATATCAGTAACACTTTTTTGTAACTAGATGACTGGTGGGAAGACTAGATATTATGTTCCGCTTGATTCATATATAATTTTTAAGACGAAATAAAATTGTTTCTAAAATTAAAAAATAGAAATTGTTAGTACGAAAATATATGTGAATTAAATTCATTCAAATATGTCAGATTTAATGTTTGAATAAAAAATATGATTTATGTATTTTTCTGATATGTTGAACCCCGACTTTACACCAACTTGAGCTGAAAAATGAGATAAGGTCAAGTAATTGAAGTAATCTATTACTAGAAAAGAAATATTTATATTCCTAATAAACATTCATTTAATATATAAACTTTAAAATTATAAACCATTGTAAATTAGAGGTATAATACATATTCTGATTTACAGTCGAAAGTTATATTTCTGAGCCGCTTTTTAATACTGTTTTAATAAATACGATGCAAGAGGCTTAAAATAAAATCGTCATAATACGTAAAAAAAAACTTTTCATCTGTTTTACGTTCTTATGCTTCACATATTATTTACCAGTGCGCACTACTAAAAGCGTAGAATAAAATAACCATACAAAAACCTTATTCATTTTAACAACGACAACCGTATTTTACTTTGACTAATTAATAATAAAATTGATAAAAATCATGAACAAATAGTATTTATATGTAATGTATACTAGAATTGTTTGTATACAAAAAATTCCGAAATAATGGTAGGTACTCAAGTACTTATAACTATATATACACAAATGGTTCTGCTATCATACAATGAAAAAAAGGATATCTCAATATGGACAGCAATAATAATAGTAATAAAAAAAAAAAATGAAGTGACATTTAACCAACAAACGATAAAGACCATATTATTACGCTCGTGGTTATAGTAATATAATGTTACAATAATAATACGTTACGTTAAATTTAATAAATAAAAAAAAAAAACAAGAAGCTTACTTGCAACGGCTTGCCGTTCGACAATGCGACAGCGACAAACAATAACACCGAACCTCCTAACCTTTGTACCATATTGCAGCGGAATGGTTATATTACTATCGCCAATGCTGTCTAACAGACATTTAATGTTATATTTAAATGTAATTAATATTGTATATTAGACTATGGTAATATTGTATTTAGTAAGAGACGCGTTGTCGTTCGACGGAAAGTTGTACAGCAGTGGCAGTAGCCTTCCGCGCTAGTCAGATAATATTATCGGCTCAGACATAAAATGTGATAAAACAAAAAAAAATAAAAATAAAAAATTTCTGAGTAGTATACACATTATTTGAATTGCTGTGCAAAGGTTTCATCTGTATGCACGTAATCTCTTGTGGAGAAGTTGTGCAAGTATATATATATATATCATATGTATTGTTTGACCGTAGTGGCCCAAGGAGTAGGTACGGTAGTGGGTCGCAAAGTGTTGAAACACAATTATGACCCGGACGATCAGTAACAATATAAATATATATATACATATAGTGTATACTGTATTTATATTTATACACCGTTGCTGCAATGATCAAAATGGCAATAATAGAAATGATAACAGTTACATATACGTATTATTACAGTCGTTGACGTCACGGGAGTGCGTTATGGGCATATAAATGTAAAAGTCACTCGCCCATTTCGAGGTACATAAGGTTTTATGATGAAAATTTCAAAACGTTAAAAATCCACTAAACGCGACCTCCCGCGGTCCGCTGTCTGACTCCGCCACACGATAACTAATAATCGCTTTTTTTTCTGCGCCCTCGACATTGTCTTTTTTTTTTTTTGAGTACGAAAAACAATATTGTATTTTTTTTTTTTTTTTACACGCGCTATAATTATATTGTTATAATACGTATACAATATAACACTACTACTATAGCTGCGTTTTGGCTATTTGCGTATGCGCCATTATCCCTCTACGTGCCATGCGCGTGCTATATCTATATATAATTATATATTATGTGCCGTTGAATACAATTTAAACGTCTTCTTGACGACGTCACGTCCGAACCACATACAACCAAGTAAAGGAAAAAAAATTATAATCGCTCGTCGTAAAAACTGGGTTAATATGATATACATATATTTCGCACTATACGCTCTAACATGCTTGCGACAATACCTAAGTGTGATGACTCTGGAAAAATGGGTTTTAAGCATAAAATTATATTCGTTATCTCCTCACGTTGTCCGTTATAACACAGGTAAAGTAATTAAATTATTGTGTTACTCAGTTGGCGAAAAATTGTTTTGTGCATTATAAGCAAAGCAGAATACGAAAAGTCTTCGACATTAAAAAATGGACATAAAACTCTGCATACATGCATGACACACGTAATTCACAAAAAGAGCGAATAACGATAAAATACGGCGAAAATTTCATTGTGAAAGGGAAGGATCGTATAATATGACTTGTAGCAAGATAAATTTCTGCTGCTAAGTTCTAAGTCCGGTCCCCATAAATTCATTATTTTATATTTTTGAAGAGCTTGATTTTTTTTTTTTTTACTACAGTTATAGATGCTGATGAAATAAGGGGCATTGAAAATAGAAAAATATCATGGTTTTTATTGTTTAAAATAAATATCAATTAAAATCATGAAACACATAGTATTATACGTACAGCTAGCGTATTTGTATTAATATAAAGAAGTAATAAATAGATAAACTGTATTTTAGATTTTTCTTATAAAAAATATGGTTATATGCATATTTTTAGTTTGATATTCACACCGTAACAAAGTTGAGAATCCAAAATACGTTCTGAGGTGATAAGCTGGGTGCTTTGTATAAAAAATCTTCAATAATTGTTTTATACACTTTAAAATGGTCATATGCTATACAATAGCGTACAAAACAATTAAAATAATTAATATATATAATATAATATACTTGTACTGTAGTAAAATCAATGGTGTAGCTAGAAGAGAGTTAAAAGGCTACAGCCATAATCGACATCTCTGGACAATTTAAAAAAAAATGTTCAGTGTTCTGTAAACGTACTACGTGTGAGACGTAATCATGTATCAAAATTATAATTTGTATGAAAGTTTTTACTATAGTCTAAAATGTTATAAAATCACAGTAACAGAATATTAAACTTCTATGAAATCCTAGTTGAAACTCTCCCACCATATTTAACAAATTATTAATCCTCCTAAGTAAAATCTTGACTATGGCAACGACTAAACACACTCTGAAAAGTTCAAAACTTTAGACTTAATTTACCAAAAGTTGACAAACAATAAATATGTACAGTGAAACCTTCCGAAGGACATCTTATAATACCCAGAATTTTTTGGAACGCGGATTTTCAATACTTTTCAATGGAAAAAATTCAAATAGAGGACACCTAATTTAATCTTAATTTAAAAACAACAACAGGAATATGCGTTTACACTTCTATAAAGATAATGAACTCGTTCAAAATCGATTTTTTTATACCAAATAAAATTGTATTTATTTATGTATTCATTCCTTTTTGTATTTATTTAAATATGGTTTAAGCATTAAAATTATCATATCATTAAATTATAATTTTATTTAACATAGTGCATATTTTTCTATTTACATATTTACCCTTTATGAATTCTAAAAAATGTAATCCCTCTAAATTGCGTATATCTCCGAATAGCTGACAAAATTTTAGTAATTGAGAGTATCAGCTGTTCAGAAGTTTTATTGTGTATATTAAATTGATTATATAACTAGTATTCTAAGTACTCTAGCCAGTATAGTCTTTAACAAACTTTTTGTCAATTGGCAATACTGTCTTTCTTGGTGTGCTACAACAAAGACGGTATTATATTTAATATGCTTTGGCGCTTTTGAGGATATTTAATTCGCGCACAGAGACGTGTATATATAACATTATACTGGCGTATGCATTTGAAATTCGTTTAATGTAAGACGAGAATAATTGTTCGACAAAATGATAAGTTTATTTTCGAAAAAAAATTCTTGGAATTGTTTACAAACTTTGTTTGAATTAAATATTTAATGTTAAAATATCATATTCTGACATATAAATATTGTACAGGATATTATGTAATATGATTATATATATATAAACATTATCGACAATGGAATTCTTCAAATATCAAAATTCTGTTTGCTAAAACTTTAGGACTATATAAACCACCACAACTATAATAGTACGGCCACACAAATTTGCAACCATGGCATAATTTCAAAACTAAGACTACAACATATTATTATTTAAGTATATACCAAGCAGGATTATGCAAGTGTTTCTAATAATAATTTTCCGAGATAATAATTTTGTTATTTCGTTTTATACATTAGTTGACAATTTAATAATAATTAATAATAAAAAAAAAATTTTAAAAATATGCGATAATTTAAAAGTAATATGGAAAAGCAGGGTTTTGTAGAAAAAAAGAAAAACAAGTTCTAGAAGATTTTGAAAAAAACAAATATGATAATTATTACAATATATAAATCAAAATCATTATATTATACACTTAATACTAAGTTGTTGAAACTTGAATTAACTTAACATTTATTTTTTAGGTATCATGCAACTGAACTTCATTATATGAGCAAGTATGATATCATATTAGATATTTTAAATTATTTTAAATAATGAAAACAATTAAAACAATTTTTTTTTTTTTAAATATACTTTGTATTTTTTGTTTTACAGTTATATGGAAACATTATCATTGAATCAAAATATTTTAACACAGTTACAAATAATACATATTTGTGTTGTTAATCTAAATACTTAGAAACTTAAAAGTGTATTAAACAAAATCATGTTAAATTCAACAAACTAAATTTTCATTTTTTTTTTTCATTTTTTTTTTTTTTTTTTTTTTTGAGAGAGTGGGCGAGAAAATCATTATTCACTAATTATAATATTAGTCTTAATAAATACTGAATAGTTTATTACAATGAATTTATTTGAGGTACCTACAACAACAATACTGTAAAACGGATTAAAAAAATTATTTTAATATAGTTGTTCATTAAACCATAACTCTGTCGACTATTGTGTAATGAATATTGTAGTTGTTGTTTTGTAATGATTTCAGCAACGGTCGACAGCTAGTATATAACACTCGGCATTTTATTATATACTCTACGGATATCATAGATTATATTATGTAATCACCATTACGACGTTACACAACGACACGTCCGCAAGAACTTGGAGAATCTTAAAAAAAATAAAAAAAACATTCACTATTTTCCACTCCGCTCGCTTCCAAGTATACGATATCCAACTGGCGGAAAACTAAGAACTGCTACGAGTTTTAAGCTTCCTCGTCCATGTACATTTACACAGCTTCTCTTTCTTTATTTCGGTACAGTGTTTCTAGATCCTCGGAGGCTACGATGGTAACGGCAACGACCGACTCATATATTCGCACGTACGACGAAGGAATAATAATTTCGGTCGCCTTTATGTCAGTATATATATATACACTGTAGGCATTGCACAAAATATACGCATTTATTACGCGTTTTTTCGTCATCGTCTATTTATCACATACACACACACACACACTCACTTATAAGCTATAAATACAGTTAAGCTCAACCGGACGACTCCGTGGAAACGATGTGGCGCGGTCGGTTTTTACGTATTTAAATCTGAACTCTGTTGAAGAACTAAATGTATTAAGCCTTTTAATATTTTTTAGAAAATAAATATTATGATAATAAATATACTATTGTTCGCACTTCACGGTAAACATAATGATATTAATAAAATAGACACCACCTCTACTGATGTTCCTCTGTGTGACTGTGTATAAATATACCTTGTTTCATTGCTTCCTCGGTCAGGAATGCACTAAGCCCACTATAGGATGCATACCCAATGAGTATTTCTAATTGAAAGTATTGTTAAGAGCAAGATTTTTTTCATCAAATTATATCGTTATAAATTAGTTTTCAGTCTGAAGCATGTCTAGTATTTACCGTTATATGCATAGAAATGTTATAACTTATGAATCATCACTGATGTAAATCGGACTTTTTTTTTTCGTAAATGGAGAAGTAAAAAATGGAAAGCCACATTTAAGATGCTCAATAATAAATTACCTACTGGCATAAGTCAATTCAAAACGCTCCCATCATTAACGTGAATACAAGAGAGCGTTATCACGCTCAATTTCCGATTTTATTTATTTAATTTTTCAACCAATGAATTTAATATTGTTGTGGAACAGTCATGCAGGTAAAACACACCCGCGAGACCGATTCTCGTCCATAGCACGATCACAGCATAATAATAATAATAATAACAAAACAACGTGCCCAATTCTCTCTCAAGCTTTGATCTACATACGTCTAATTTATATTTGCGAGTACACTATTAGAAATTATTTGAGATGATTAATATTTAATATTGCATTATTACTTATTAGTTATTACAGAGTATCGTTTATGTATACAGACGGGACTTGATGATGAGATTACAAATGCCTGAAGTAACCCATTAATATATTATATTATTATTGTATACACTAATATAATTGGCTTTACGACATGTCGTTGATGAGTGTATATAATATTATTTAATGGAAATCAATTTATATTATATTATATTTTGATATTTAATTAATTTCTAATAAAACGCTGAACCGAGACTCTTGAAAATTATTGCTAAAGCCTACTACGACCATGACACGTTAACATGTCATTCACGTAAACTTACCTATTTTTATTTTAACAAATATAAAATAATATTTCATTGTGCAATTAATAAAGCACTTTTGTATAATATTTTATGTAATGTATACTGTGCGAGTTAATAACTTACACTTAGGTGTTAGTGTATCACTTACAGCACGTTAACACATAATACAATTTGGCACTAGACAATATTGTAGGTAACAAGTTATAACTTCAGTTGTAATAGAATTAGATTTATAATTGACATAACTTATTATTACGATGTTATTACAGTAATAAAAGTCATAGTAGTAAATAAAATATAATTTAGTAATGTTTAATACTAAATTCACTTAAACAAGTTTAGTAAGAACTATGTTATGATTAATTTAATTTGATCCAAATATCGAAAATGACTATAATAGAATACGCCTCCAGTCAATTTTAATGTTCACATACATTTTCATCTCTTATTTAATCCTCCTCAAAAATATTGTACTCTCACATTTAATTTGGTGCAATACATTTATATAATATTATTGCATTAATCAAATCACACCAAGATGAACATTGATTACAAATAGAACTCCACAACAATGTGTATATTATTTCCGCTTACAACTTTTTGCTAAATTATCAAAAATGTATGTTTCAATGAAATTTTTGATACTAATTGTAATTTAGTAGTGACTAGTGAGTATCAACTTATTTGACCAATATTTTAAATATTTTATATCATATTGTATAAAATAATATTCAAGTTATTTCCTAGTCATCATTGTAATATTTTTTTTTTAAACGTTTTTCAATATCATTGTAATACTCGTATTTCAAATATTTGTATGCTTTTGTATATTTATAATAAATATGATTTATTTTATAATTTATAAATAATAGAAAACGTTTTATAGATATAATATTGATAATAAATATTACAATGAAAAATAAAACTTAGCAAAGTTTTATAATTACCAGTTGGTGTTATAAAATATATAATGATAACCGTGTGTTGATAAATGTTGATGTTAGTCTTATATAATATTAAAATAGATAGGTATGTGTTGAAGTTCTTATCACGGTGCATAATTCCGTAGTTGCGACTACAGTCTACGCTTTTTGTAGTGTTTCTAGTTCCCTCTGAAATGTATATAACAGCAATAATATTAAAAAGTTACCGGTGATATTTTATTTATCAATAATTGTATGTGGGTCAACCAATAGGCAATATTAACTGGTACTTTAACTATTTCATTATCATATACATTTAGAAAATTTTCACGAAAACATTAAGTATAATAGAAATAAACGTTAGAGTTACTATTATAATTTATAATGAATAATTGCATGGTAATTATATTTTTGCAGAATAAAATAATAAAATAAATATTATTTTAAAATAGAAATATTACACTAAATAAAAATAAAATTATGATAAATATTAAATAGTATTACATGAAAATAATAACATTATTTTGTTAATAAATATTACTATCGCGCGTTAATTAAATACTTTGATTTGTAACTTCCAAAAAAGTACGACCACAACATATTATAAAGTAAAATGTGGTGTATGTTATGCAATCGAAGCAATTCTTAAATGTTTAAACAATGATAAGCACATGGTAAATATTTCATTTATCGGAAATAATTATATAATAATGTATCGCAACCTTAGACATTCCGGTAAACAAAAAAAAAAAAAAAATAAATAGTTTAATAATACTTTGTTCACCTTGATACCGTTCAGATGATCGATCAGACTTTGAATTATGGCGTCTTTCACGTATCCAGAAATTTCCTTTTTAAAATCGGTATCATTATCCTTGTCCGCCAAATGTGTGGCACACACGATTATGTACTTGATGGTGCTTTCGATACCCCAACGCACATTCTTTACGGTTGGACCATCGCCCATGTGATGGTATTTGAGATCAACATGGTACTTGGCAGCTTCAGCCCAATCGCTGGCGAACGATTTGGCCTGATCGTTTACGCCAGATTTGTCGATAACCTGTGCAAGATGGTCAGTGAGGAAAGAAAAGACGGCAGAATACATTTTAATAGACATTTATCGTGTACACGATACATTTCCAGAAAATATAAGAATATAACGGACGAATTCACATTTCGCACGAGTATGCAGTATTAAGTTTTTGATAATCATCTGCGATTACACTGCAGTATAAATTATATAGGTGTACCTGTTTTGCCAGTGTGTCCATTAACGTTTTTAGGTTTGCTTGGTACCTATCAAAACCCTGAACGGCGATGTCTAACGTGCTTCCTTTTTCTACTCCTAAAGTATCAAACACTTCCGAGACCAATTGTTTAATGGCATTTTCGTATTCGGTCACCCATTCAAAGTGAGGGTTGTGCTAAAATAATATTTTATTTTTAATAAGATCTTCTTATCTTCTAAAATTAATGATAATAATATTACATTAAGTATAATAGTACTAAAACTAGTATAATTTCTTATAGTTATTATTGAAAAATATACATCCTAGTTTAACGTTAAATAGGATTTCAATGAACGGTTTAGAAATGCGTGTACAAATAATATAATATTATAAAATGTTGCTTATTTATATTAGTGGTAAATAGCGGAAAATCCGAGTGGTTGACTCGTGGTAAAAAAAAAAAAAAAACTAAATACGACGATTACGACTACATTCATTAAAACAAAGTCATTATTAAGCGAGTATATAATATTATAGACTTTAAACAATTTGAAACTAAATGCATTTCGTGGAAACATCGTAACTTTATCATCGCCTATTCGTCGAATTATATATTTTAACGTACACGATGATAGCAATAACAATACTATATTTATAGTGTAGTGTTTTATTTCGAGTATAACTTCAAAAATAAACACAAAAAGCCGTAAAAATACACATACAATTGTCAATTAATTTTGTAAACCTTGACATATCACAATAATGTATTATTTGTATCCATGCATCAAGAAACATTATAATAATAATACCATGGTTTAAAATCGTCAGAAATAATAAAAAAAAAATGAAATTTTTAAAACAAACGAGTATAACTGCAAGTAACTCATTTTATTGCATAGCGACTTTGTTAAAACAATAATAAAACGATTACATAAATTTTCATTGATATCTGTTTAAAACTATTGGAAATAATTAGGAAAATATATCTATTAAATGTGTATTTTCAGTTCTGCGATACTAGACTGTACTTGATTATATTTAGATCACACTGATGATTATTTTAAGTTAATTCGTTAGTTTATTTTCAATTAAAAACAAAAAAAAAAAATTGTTAACACCGATAAAATACTAATTATCAATAAACGTTGCAAATCGAAGGCAGCGTATATAACAGTCGAGAAGTTGGTAAAAATTTTAATTAATAAAAATTCGTGCAATGAAATATCTCTTAGAGGTTCCACCTTCCTACTGTAGCTGTATCTCTAATCACAAAGTCTAGTCAGTAGGTTATGTCACATTACCGCAATATTGCGTAACATGCCAATGGTATAAATTTTAAATTTTCAGAAATCACCAACACAGAGTAGTAAAAATAGTAAAACAAATTCTCTAATTCAGAGGTTTTCAAACTATGGGTTCCGTTATATTTTTAAATAATACATTTTTTTAGACATATGGTCATCATTGAAATCAAAAAGGCAAAAAAAAGGTCATCAGATAAAAAGCTAGATACACCCATCATGTTATTGTGGGTCGCCAAAATTTAAATAATTTCCAAAATGAGTCGTACCATAAAAAGTTTAGGACCTTCTGTTCTAACTAATAAAACCGACTCTAGTATAATTGAACATAATCTATCTAAAAAAATCAATGTTCCTCGTTACTGTAGTATCCCCTACCCAAACAAAATAAAATTATTATTCAATATTCAATTCAGTAGCTATTAAGACAAAAACAATAGACAATGAACAATTGGTATCTATCACCAATAAATTGAATCACCAGTACACATTTACCTCCATTGATATTTATTTAAATAAATTTGACCTACTTTGTAAGACATTAAATAGAATACCTAATGGCGATGATAAATTAATCTTTAAAAACTCTTTAAACAGAATCAAGTTAACGGCTAATGCTTACAGATTAATTATAAAATTCTAATAAGATATTGAAGCCAAGAACATATTAAATTTAGTAAGAAAGAACATACTCTAGAATTATAACATTTATAATATTAAACCACCACCATACTACATAGGAGAATTAACTAGAAGATCTAGATTTTATTATCAAAAACTTAAATAATTTACTTCAAAAATAAATAAAACAAAAACTACAATTTTTCTTTGTAGATATTGAATCTAATAATAGTTATTACTACATATTGAACATAAATTCTATTTTTTTATTCAAAAATAAAATAAATTAGAACATATTTGAAGTTAATTAATGAAAAGCCTAAGATGACAAAGTTATAAACATTCAAATTTTTCTAATTTTATAAGTAAAATGTGTAATAAGCATCTAATTTAATCATCTAACTTTGCAAAAGATAGCACACAACTAACTTCAAAGTATGCCCTAAATTTAATTAACTACAACAGTCCTTAAATATATCAATCCAATGTAAAACAATTAATAATTAATTTTACAATTAAAAAATTGAGGTAAAGTTTTAGAAACCATTTAAATAAATAATATTTACAAGCTGCTAAAAATACTCCAAACACACTCAATCTTTTACCAATATATCAAAAATGATGTTATCATAAAAATTACTTTTTTTATTATACAAGCTAAATCTCTTGTTAATCCATAAATCTCTCTTTTAATTAAAGTTATCAACAATTTAATTCTCGAAAATTACCAATAACAAAATATTCAATTTTTCTCGTCCATTTCACATATTTTATAAAAAAAAAAATACTCGAACTTAGATATTTAGATGACTATTACTCTGTTATTATTATTTACATATACAATTACAATATAATTATTTGAATAATCATTATTTTTTCTCTGATTAAATTTACTTATCGCATTACTTAATGTTGATTATAAACAAAAACATTTTTTATAACAAAAGTGTATTTGCGGCAAGGCTCTGATAACACACTACAGACGTGGTATTATACCAAATAGGTAGTAATATGATGTTCTCTACTAGGAACAATGTTTTATACGATAATCCTAATAACATACTAACTATATTACAATATTAGTATATTGTAGGTCTGAAAAAAAACAAATGTCGACTATAATGTAATTATATACTATGTAAATTTAACAATAGTTATAATATAATCTGCAAAATATGTATTTACTTTGGGCTTAAGCTAATTTATTGTGCACTAAATAAGTATTTATTTATATAAAATTATATATGGTTTCGCCGTGATCCAACCGGACCATCATGGAATATTTGCTTCGACTATATCGTTATACGCGTCCACTCGCTCTCTCTTACACACAGTCTGTATACACTGCAACTATGGTGGTCAAAAGGTTTACGGTTTACCGATGAACCCCTGGATGTGCTGTGGTTCTAAAGTAACCCCGCTACCCAAATATATTTCCTCTCTATGTTCCTCGCTAAGTCGTAGCCGGACGATAGATATTAATAATCGCAGACCAACAGAAAATCGATTGAGTTGGATGCAATAATGTATATACTTTCGAATATGCATTAAAAGACTATTATAACAATAGGTATATATAAATATATATATTTTTTAATGATATGTTTATTCAACGTGAAGGAGCTATGGACTCACTGGTACATTATATATACCGCTGCATGAAAATCTATAAACATACTCGTTGCATAGAAATTATCGCCCTTTATCTGACTCCAATGTATAAATATCCTTCTATACGACAGTCAATGAAATACGTTTTCAAAAGGGATGGATTCTAATTATATGTATTATGCGTAGAAACTCTGTCCGAATATTCATTCTATTCTCAGATTTACTAGTAGTCCCTTCATAAAGTAATCGTTTCTCTATCCTTCCACGCATTGAACTCGCGCAAAAATAACATACACATAATAATGATAATTGCACGAACACATGTATTCAGTATATACTTGACAAACTTCGAGCCTTTTGTGCATCATACTTAATCACACTGTAGTTTGCGTCTCCGGTTATATTCTTCCTCACTGCTGTTTTTTCTTTCCAGAACGTCAATCATTTTTAACCTCCCTATCCACAAGAAAAGTTAATCCTTCACTGGAATGACTTCAATATAAACACCATCAATCCTTAGCTCAAAATATGTCCATCTTTATAAACTCAAACTTTGTAGTTGTCATTTATAATATTATCTATAATCTAATAATATAATACATTTAGAAAATATATGACTACATATATCAATAGTACTTTTGACAATATCCATCATATCTCGAAATATTTAAATTTAAAACCTACAAAATCATGTAAAATATTTTTTAATCAAACCTTAACTGACTTTCTAGGTACAAAATTCAGTGTCGAAGGCATAGCATACAACTAAGTAAAAACAAAAAATATCGCATGATGACAGTGTATATTTATACAAAATGACTAATTCATGTTAACCTGTGTTATTTTACGAAAAACAGGTTGGTACGTCTATACTCTATACTAATTAATTTGAAATTCACATAAGTATTAGAATTTTATGCGGATGGTACTCTTAATTTAATGAAAGACTACAGCCCGTAAAATATACAATAGTAACAAGCCCATTAATTTTTCAAAATGCTACTTTTTTTTTACTATAAAGTATCTGTATCAGCAATGGTTTTGTATGTCATAAAATGTTGTCGAAGACGTCAGTTTAAATCGTTATTTGAACAGTATGTGCATGATAAAATAAATATATACTTTTTTCAAATTTATCACAAGTACGTGATAGTAGGGTTAACGCCGTTACATTTTGTATGGGAGTGCATTAAAACTCAGGAGCAGGAGCTATTCATTTGCATTACGACTGCCATTTGGGAGTTATATTTAATATTTTTTGCGGTGCATATTTGATTGAACGTCTATTCATTATACTCGTAATACAACATCTTCTTTTTAAAATATTATTAATACACGCGAGTTGTAATACACGGTGTTGCACGCAAATTAATACTCATATTAATATACGTAAACAATAAGCATTCACCTTCTAAACTTTGGTTCTGAGAAATTTTGTAATCAACAATTTTAATAATTTGATAAATACTAAAATACTGGTTTAGTTTATTTAGGATGTTAATAAAAGATGAACAATATTTCAACAAAAGTGTGTAAGCCATATGTGTAAAAATATTGCAATATTAAAAATAAGAGTGCATTCAATTAAAAGTCAAAAAATTAAAAAAAAAAGAAAACATTTTCATAGCATAATTCATATATAAATATTTACAATTATTTGTATTTAATAAACTATATTTATCAAATATAAATAAATACTTTAACTTAATTTGACTGCTACTAATCATTTTTTTTTTTTTATTAAAATGAGCTTATTTACTTATGATGTAATTTAATAGTGTTATGTTGATACTATAAAAGTATACTATAGGTATGTAAATATTCATATCAACTTGGACACATTGTATAATAAGTTGTAGAGCCATAAATAATAATGATCGGCAAACTAAATTTTATTAATCGAACACACTTCATTAAATACAAAAATTTATGAATACCTATAATTTTAAACTAATTAATTTATAAAATTACTTAATCGTTTTTTGATATCACAATTTTTAGATTTTAATAGCTTTTTTTCACTTAGCGATGTTTTTACATGGAATGTTTTTGTTGCAATATTAGTTAGATTAAACGACATTTGTTTTTTTATAAGAACCATCAGGGTGGGACAGTTCCAAGGCCGGGATGTTGGCGCCATAACTGTGAAGGACAATAAAAACGTTGTAGTCTGTCCTAAGAATAAAAACATTGAAAAATTATAGGTATAATACAATAAAAATCAAAAATATAATTTTGAACACAATATTTAAAAGGATATATATTTTATATTAAATTTAATTCTCAAAAAAATAATTACGGTAATAATCCAATAAAATATACGTCGGTTTGATAAAATTGCTATATCATACGAATTTAATACGTACAGTACATGCATGTATATACAATATTTGTGGAGTTATTTTGTAGTTCATCGACACTTTAAACACGTTATAATAAATTGCTTCCGATCGACGTTTGTATCCAGGATTTTGATCATAAAATTGCGTTCAATAGTATTTTATAATAATACAATAATAAATAAAACGGATGTTCGCATATATACCTGTCTACGGTTGTTTTTGCTGTTATTATTTTTACGTATTTTATAACTACATATATATGTATTTACTAAACACCAGAAATGTTAGTTGTTTGTAAATAATCTGTATTTAATAAAAAAACCACCGAGTCACGCTCAACTCGAAAGTACGCGTCATTGAGTTTCGAGTTTGGTTAAAATGTATAGAACGTACGCTATCACCCTCGTAATCCTCTCCTTTGCATTTCAAAACAACATAATATTAATTCGTCGATTGATGTTAAATTTATCTTTGCAATTTTGATTTTTAATACATAGTGGCAGAACGTATTATACATTATTTCATTTATCAGTGGTTTCTATCGGAGAAGACAGTTTGTTATTGGGCCAGTAAGTAGTACTGTATGTAAAACAATAAATAAGATTAGATATTCGAAACAATAATTATTATTATCATAATGAATAAAAACTACGAAAATATTTTAACAATATAATACGTACATACAACTGTGTAATCGAATGTACTTACCTTGACGACTTCGTAGTCGACTCCGTCCAGACACTTGACACTTTCAGGAACGCCGGAGTAAGACATCGTTTAACAAAAACGGTTAATAAATAAAATAAAAATAATTCGCAGTACGATAACTTCTGTGCAACTGCGTCCAAATGCTCCAATGGCTGTACAGGCGGCAATACGACTGCGATTGTCATAATACCGTCGCTGATGAATATCATATCAAACAACTACGCGATGACGTCAGTGCCTCCGATCGCGAGAAAGCAGTGATTATGACCTTTGTATAGCGGCGGCGGCGGCGGCGATAAAAATAAACATATTAATTTATTGTTAGTTAAGACGGCATTATAATAATATGACGAGTCAGCACCGTTATATAATAATTTCTGTCGAACAACACAATAATATAATATCACTATCACACGACGATGCTTTACAATATTATTGGTCTTACAAAAAATACGTATTTATATGATACAACTGTCGTCTTATATATTTTAATATTATACTCAAGATGTTTGGATATCTGTGTTATAAATACGCCCTATCACTCTTTATTTACCAAGTCCGTAATACAAAAGTCGGGTTCCAAAATCCACGCACGAATAGATAACCCCATAGGGAAAAGGAGATTTTGCTGTGAGCCATCGTCTATATTTATTTCGGCGGACCTCTCGATTCCACACAAGTTTCGTTTCAATGATAAAATTAATTCACTATGTAGGTACAATTAAAATGATAAACTATTATTATTTTTGTTATTTAACAGTATAATTATGGTACCATAACAATTCAATAATTTTGCATTTTATTGTAAATCCTGAAAACATTAATATATTAATTTAAAATAAGTATAGTAAAATAAATAACGTTATAAATTGTTAATGTTGACCACTGATCGCAAACACTGCTTAGCAGTCATATCTATACACGAAACGTATTAAAATACGTTCTACAGTAGAAACAATAATGTTCTTTTAATTTTATTCGATTATTTTAAAGCTAAAAAATATTTATACATTATTTTAGTTTAATTTTTATGTATAAAATTAATTTCGTATAGTTATCTTTTTATTTAAACATTTTTTTCAAATTAGTAGACCTTTAAAATGTTTTTCTGTAACAGAAATAATACTTATTCACATTTAATTTCATTAAACTTTATGGTGGTGAGGTAGGTTGTTCCACTTTTCCGAAAAAAATTATGTTTTCATTTGTCATCAGTCACGGATACTATTCAGTTTTAAATATTACAATGAAGGTTTTAATTTCAATTTTTGAGTTGAATTAGCCCTTAATTATGTAGAGTTAATTAAAAGTAATTTTTATTATAATTCTCTATTAAATTAAAATAGTTAGAACTTGAGTAGGTAATCAATTTTCCAAAAACAATACAACATTGAAAACTTTTTTTAGAATCGTATGTAATTAGGTAACACAATAAAGTATGAAACTTATAGCTATAAGGTATTTTTAACTCGATAGGAGATACGTTTTTAGTTAAATAAAAATGTATTGACAGCTTTTTACAATAACTGTGCTTATATTGTTAAATATGCTATAATTACAGATTTTTCAACATTTTAAAGTTCTAATATTATCTTTGATTTTAAATCATCAATATCAGTATTTTAATATGTATTAAAAACAGTTATTTAACTTCAATTGATATTCCTGAAAAACTTCATATCTATGATGTGATGAATGAAAAAATGTATTTTAAATAATAAAGAAAAGTATAAATGTAATATTTTAATTTTATTATAAACTAGCTGTCCTTGTGCATTTCGTTTTCTGTATATAATGCATCCAAATTAAATTTGGTCTCAAATACTAACATTAAATTTAACGTAATGCATGTGAATATTATAATATTATATATTTTTTGGTTTTTAAATTTGATGTATAGATGATATTTCCGTCATATAAACTTTAAATAGCTGTTCCGACCATTTTTTGACCATTTAAAGGTAGCATTTTTTTTTTAAATTATCTTTTTCTCAGTTGGCTGGTATCAGATTAAATATTTATTTTAAAATATTTTTCAATGTTTCTATCTATTTTTTAATACTTTGTAAATGATTTATTCATTTTTATATATATATAAATAGTTTTCTGAACTTATACGAGATGAAGTAACATAGCAGTTATCTTGGTGTATTTCGTCGCCCATTAAAATTATGCCTATTATGTGGTTTAAACTCTATTCAATCTGTTATGTATACGTATACTCGTTATACCTAAATAGATGTGTATTTACCGATTATTTTGAACATTTATAACTCAATTGTTAATTAACTTAAAGAATCGGAAATGGGTTTAAAATCTCCGTCTGAACTAACACATAGTGCTACATCGTTATGTATCAGTTGTAATGTACCTATCAGGGCACTGGCAAATCGCTATATTTTATTTTATTGCATTGCTATAATCGTTATTTTAAAATTAACTAAAACTATTTAAACTGATAGAATATTGATAATAATTAATTTCAACTTTACTAGAGAAGAAGTTTTTTTTTTATTTTCCTGGATAGATGGATATAACAAAGTTCTCAAGGATAGTCAAATCAAACTCCAACTATTTACGTATAATAATGTTTTGTCTTCTATTAATATCTTTAGTAAAAAACATATTATTTTTATGAATGATATAATAATCAAGTTATATATTGTAGTCACGAATATGTATCAGCTAATACATAACAAAATAATTTTATATTAAAAAATCTGTATTTATAATAATGCTATACTTAAATATATAAAATTGATACTAAATATTTTCCCCTATGTACTCATATATATTACAATATAAATACATCAGCATTTATACAAGCTAATATAAAATAATAAAAAAAATTATAACATATATTTTAGTATTTATTTAAATGAAAAAATAAAATAAAAATAAATTCACTTATATTAAACTAGTTTCAAATCACTATTTTAAAAATAAAAATGTTATATAATTTTTTTTAAATAATTACCTTCATTAGTATTAGGGATATTTAAGTTATGTAATTTTTTTTAAATATTAAATTATATTGTATTTTAACAAGTTTTACATTACGTATGTTTTTTCTTTCATAATATATGTAATGGAATCGATAATTGGTTAAATCAACATATTCTAATGTCTAGCTCTAGCAGAATTTATTTTAAACGGACAGATTCAATAATTAGACCCTGATTATTTGATTAAACGATGAACTCAATTTTAAAATTATTTTCCAAATTTGGTGATGATAATTATTGATGAATATGTTCATTATATAAGTAAGTTATTTTCTTGTAAACATTTTTAATAAAGTTCTGACCACATTATTATGTAAGTTGTATAGAATTCCAGAAACGAAGAAATACGATATTAAAATTGGTATATTTGACTGTATCAGGGTGATAAAATATTGCTCATGAAAATTATACAAAACTATTTGTTTTTAATCTCGATTAAAAACAAAATAAAATTAGACAATACTACATAGTGTACTTGTTCAATATAGTTTTTCGATTTTTTTTTTTTTTAGTTCAAATGATAGAATGAAAATATATTAAACAACACGATTCTTGTTTAAGCTATACAAGTTAACTTCGAAATGGAACGATTTGCAGTGTATAGCTACTCGAAAATATTCGTTTAGACAATAGTTTTTTTTTATTTTTCATTTCGACATAACTAAACGCAAGAATCGATAGGTTATTCCTTTTCGAAAAAAGGTTATTGCGGTAGAATCGATACATGTGCTGACGACTCAGCCGAATAAACGAAAAATGCCCCCAAACGTGCTCTGCCGTATTTTACCTTTAACGGTATACGTATAATATTTTTTTACTGCGTTTGATAAAAGTGACGAGTTGGTTTTTTTTTTTTTTGTATTACGAGTTTCATTGATTTATCTGCGATAAGGTACTGCAATGATAATATATTACTTCCTGAAGGGCACAGCTACAGTAATTGGCAAACTAGAATATAATAATTTATAACAATATTTTATAATATATTATGTATATGCATAAAAGAGCGGATTAAAATATTTACATGAAAATATGGGGAAAAACAAATTAAAGCATCCAACAACTGACTTATACACGCACATAAACATCATTATTCCACTATAGACATCGCTAACGCATTATTATAACATCATGTGCATACACAACATATTATGCTCACAAGTTTTCCCACGCATGGTTCTGCAGAAAGTGTACTTTCGAATCACGAACGAGCGATAAACATTTAAATTAAATTTATAATACGATTTAAGTACCTAAGTAAGGTATCTATATTTTCCCTATTATTTTTTTCTCTACACTGACAGCCAATCGAGTTGCATTTATTTGTTCATTATATAATCGTATTTACTAGGTATCAATGCAATATCATTGTACAATATATTCAAATTATTAGTATATTTTTATGTTTGAAACTTTCCATTGTAATTATATTGATAATTTAACCTATAAATAAGTACCAGACAGTCTATAGAACTAAAGAATGGACAATATTATATAATGCGTTCAGGTTGTAGGTTAAACGTTTTTGTTACATAATTAATTAACCACTGTTTTCTGTTCAAAGTACTATCAATTACTTGAGCATAAACATTGGAAATTTTTTGATAAATTATGTTTTATAAAATATTCTTATTAATAATTAAAAATTAAAAATGTATAATATAAATTTAGCTAATCTACATAATTTATAATTTATTATATAATAATATTGATTGAAATTTGGTTGTCTATCTGTGATAATATCAGTTATATATTCTCTCACTTTTAACAATATAGATTTGGTTTTTTTTAAGTACACATTTTTTTAATATATAAAATATCTTTGACTATATTGCTTATTTTTTTATCGTTTCCAAAAATATATATTATATGCATATTATATTTATGTATATTTTTTATTGCAACGTGATAAAATATAACAGACCTTAATAAACTTAAAAGCTACAGAAGTCTTATAAAGTTTTTACATTCGTTGAAAATATTATAAACTAGGATATATGTGTATAATATAGTTGATTATGAATTTGTTCGGGAAAAAGAAAACGTTACAAGTTTAAAATTAAAATAACACGGTAAACGAACAAAAATTCTTTAACGCAAGAAAGCTTAGTTTTATTTAATGTATTTTTTTCATTATTATATTTTTTTTCTGCACGCCAGATGCAGTAATGATAACTATTACT